AGCGAAAGACAGAGAGAGAGAGAGAGAGAGAGAGAGAGAGAGAGAGAGAAAGACAGAGAGAGAGGACGATGACTTATCCTCCTTTTCTTGCTTTCCCCATTCTCGGAACAATGCTGAAACCCTGATCACCCTGTAACCCTGAACCTCTTCCAAAACCCTGACTCCCACCGAACCACCATCCTCTTTGTGTTGGCGAAGCATATGACTTTGGCGTCGTCGGCAAGCCCAGACAAGATCTTCCACAGCTTGTCATCCTTTCGATTCTTTGACTTCTGTGTGCAGGGAATGAAGAAGCTGCCTCTCTATGTCAATATCAGAGTAATCCCATAGCTCCTTGAGCAGTCCGTTCCTTCGTTCCCTACTAAAAGGCAGGATTCAGCTGTCATGGAGTATGGAACCCTGACCTTTCGCAAAGGTAAGGGCCCGCCCAAAGAGTAGAAGTTAAGCTTGGACATTCGCCGTTAAATCATTCAAAGTTTCCGCCCTGAGCTTTGCAGAAGACATAGCCAAATATCCACGCAAACTATAACTCCAAACGTGACAGGTCTTTGCCATAGAACAGAGCTGTGCCGACAACGGCTCGTTAGTTCCATGAGATAAAGTAACATATTGCATTTTGATTCAGCCGTGCTCAAGAATGCAAACGCGCAGCAAAAAAGGCATGTTGCAAAGCCTGCGCCCGCAATCCTCAGCATTTAATGGGGCAAGTATGAGGTGTAGGCCGCGGATATATCCCAATTAGGCCGCGCAACGCGTGGGATCCACCAATGCGCATTGGCAGGATCTCACATGTGCTGCATTACCAATCCGTGGTCCTTCTCGTCGTCCCCCAATTTGAAGAACTCCTGACTCACAGCCTTCGGCCAAGATCGGGGTGCTCTAGACAAAAGGTCGCTGCGTCGGAATTTTCTTGGGGTGTTGGAAGACTTTTTGGAACATCTAGACTTTATATATTGTATGTGATTAGATAACACGACAAACTCGCCGCAAGATACTGAACCTTTTTTATGTCAAATTAATTTACCCTGAAAGTGTTCTTTGCTATATGACCCGACAGGCTGGGCTACTTAAGCGCCCATAAGATGCATCGAGATCCTCTTGCATGGTTTTCACGATATGAGATCTGCCTGGAACACCAGAACGCCGAAAGGGGGTCAGAAAAAGTGTTGTAGACTTGCTGGTTCCTCGTCGGGGATAGGGGAATATGATCCCTGTATAGCCCGTATAATGTATTCCCATCTTCCCTATTGAGAACGAGTAAAATACTGCAGATGCAGGAGGAAGTTTTCACCACCCAGCCGGTGTTGCAAGATTTCCCGGATCAACCGTATCATGTGCTGGTATCCCACTTGGCACAAACCCCCGAAACAGACCTGCGTGGTGGTGCTATTTCGGGGAAGACAAGGAATCTCATTGCACTATAAGCCAGATTTGAATCCTGAACTTTTTCGAATTTCCGAACCCTCCCTAAATTCCTCTCTCTCGTCCAAACCATTGTTGCAAGAATGGCCACCTTGACAGAATTTCTATTGAGCCATATGAATACTGCAGGCTGCAATGGAGCATAAGCATCCTTCGTCGTCCTTACTTTCCCGCTGCCCCCGCAAACTTAAATAAAGACTGCGTGGGGCGTGGGGCTCACGGTCGTCCAAGATGTTGTGGTTAATCGGTTCCGCTAATGATAATTGTCGACCCCCCTCCCCTAACAATAATCCCCCGTGGAATTCCAATACTACGGGGCAGCTTTCATTGCAAAGAAGTATAGGGTCTGGTTTTGCGTGAGAAATTCGATTACAATTTCTATTACCCGCTGCCGCACACTATACCTCAGAAACCAATGGAAGCCGTATCATCAAAATTAAACCGTCCGAGAAATGATGGATCCCCGACTAATCCACTTGGACGCGTTTTGAAAACGTTCCTTTTCACATACCAGTGAAAAGAGTAACAAGGAAAAAGGTCGAGGAGTTCCTTGAGAGTATCCGTTAGATTACTTTGCATAAATTCGTTTGATAGCACACACAAACAATCAAAATATGAAAGCCAAGCAAATCCAAGCAAGGCCTTGATTCTAACTAGATTTTCCGCAGCATTCTGTTGCATGAATATTTTATTAAGAAACATTTGGAAACAAGTGCTCCCCATTATTTTTTGTCCGGTATTACGCCCCTTTAATGACCTCAGAATTTCCTTAATTCAATTGAACTGGGATCCTGCTTGGTCCCTGCTAGAAGTACCTTTGGCCTTTTTACAAACAATTTTCGGCACTTGCGGTTTCTGGGCCGGGCAGTGTTATGTTGACGTATTAGGGAGACAGGATTACTGTTCTCAGAGTTAATTATGACAGGTATTTCATGTACAGCCATCAGTTGCACGTAGGTATGTCGTGCTATGGGCATTATTGGCGGTTGTGGAATTGAGTGCCACCATTCGAAATACAATCTGGGGAAACAATCTCCCAGCACAACTTCGGAAGCCAAATTACAAAAGTGTAGGTATAGAGAAGAATGCAAGTGCTTCTGTGAGTTTAGGCTTGTTCTGGGCTAATGTTTAAGGAGTGGGGTGTGCTTCACCGAAAATGAGAGGGAAATGCTGCCACATACGCCCAAGAAATCATGTTTGCTCGGGGGCTGAATGGTAGCTTGATTGGCAGACCCTCAACTAGCCCTGCAGCCAATGCTGCTTCGCTTACGTACCTGTGGTCTGCGGCCTTGCGGGCTTGCAGGTGCCATACGCAACACGTTGATCGAGATGATGTTTCCCCGACCCGAAAAATCAGCTTTCGAATTTCAGCTGCCGAATAAAGTTTTCGCCTTTGTGGGGCGTGGCTAAGATTTCCCTTCAAGCCTATAGGGTGTCTTTGTGAACGCATCACTTCGTAACTCCTAGACAGAGGGACAAAGAAAGGGACTCTAAAGATCCTTCGTCACCACTGTGACATGCCCACATCCTGGCACAAACGGTTTTCTTGTCAGGTGTTATTCAGAATTAGGAGCGCCTGCTCGGGGATGTTGAACATATTGGAAGACGCGCGTTTGGAGTCCAAATATTGAAAAGTATGAGGGTGAAACGGACCACGCACACAGTAATACTTGAACAGTCGGGGTGCAATTCAACAAGCCTTGTAAAATCACATGGTGGCAGATCAAGCAAGCTTATGCTATGGCACCCTTGCTCTTGCACTAGTCGAAACTGATGACACGTCATGTTACTCTGCCTCATTCGACCTCGAGCCTGGGCAGAACCTTACGCAGAAGCCCTCATGTAGGTAGCTTCTTTGAACAGTCAGGATTGAAGGCCATATCAAACAAACCATTGCGGAAACAAAAATGCAAAGACGTGCAGACTTGATATGCATGGGCAGCCTGAACCCTGAAGTCCCGGACAATTCCTATCAATGCTTTCAACCAACGAATAAGTAGCGCCAATCTGAAAAGTTGTCTGTCATCAGATTCCATCTGCGGATACAAAGCAGCCGGGCAGTAATGCGTACGTGACTTGCTGACTCAAATGATATAAATTGACCCTTCAGGAATTGGGCATGGCCTGCAGTAAGAACTCCACTAACTTACTGGTGGTTAGTAAGGAATAAGCTAATGTAATCCTATTTAACCTCTACATAACACAATTCCCTTACCTGGGATGGCTACTCAGCAGTGAATCAGAAAATGATGGGAGTCAGGGTTTTCTGAGGGGGTATTTACATGATATGGTTAACACAGCAAGCGTGTATACACTACAAAAAAACTACAGTACAGTAGTTAAGGAACAGCCTCTGGAACCTGGCTAACCCGAAAAGTTGTATAATTCTTGTGTAAAAAATGTGGTGTTTTCTCAAAATAGTGTGGACCCCAATATACACCCCCCCAAATACTCTAGTCCTTCTTATAGGGACCTCCAAACAGGTACCCCCCCAATTTTGGGAAAGCCCCATGCGTGTTTCCAGGAAACGCAGAGGCGAAATTGCATATTGACAGTCAAAAACAGAAATAATAAACACAGCAACTGGAGGGTTCAGGTTCTCGGGCCTAGGGCTTAGGGTTCAAGGCTTTGGGTACAGCGTTTAATTAGGGTCTAGTGTTTAGGGTCAGGGAAAAAACCCTGCACCACTTAACATCCCCGAATCCCCGAAGTACTACGATCAAAATTGTTTGGGCAATATAGGGTGGGGCAAGATTTCTTCCATCCACGTGGGTCCCCTTGAAGGAGATAGATATGTTTAGGTTTACGGATTAGTGAATGTTTTGGGATGGCCGCAAAGGCTCCCCCAGTGATAAGGATCATTTGTGGATTATAATGGGATGAGCATGCGAATACATCTCGGAACTTGCACTTCTTTGTTGTTGCTACTACTTTGACTACGAATATTAGTAGTTCGCATTATGTTGATTCAGGTTTTGGGCCGTTCAGGACTCCAAACAACAGCATGATTGCTGAGTTGGTCAAAACAACCTGCACGCGAATCTGTATGTCACGCACTCTAGCAGTCACAGCTGCTTGCAATCTCGACGTGGATTTTGGAATTTCCCAGAGCGCTTGCTGTTGGGATCTCTCGCTGAAATCACGGGTCACCCTGTCGCATCCTGGAAAAAATATGAATATCATAGACCTAAACTGTAAATAGTGGTTTTCATTTTCCGTTCCATTATCCCTATATAGCCCCTATATTACCCCGATATAATAAGGACATGTTGAGATGGTCCTATGTGGCATCCAGGCGCGGAGCAGGCGCCCCAAGGCCCGAGAGCCCAAACTAACCAAAGTAAGAAGACTACCTTTGCCCAAAGGTTTAGGGTTAGGGTTTCGGGTCTGAGCCCAAACTAAAAAGTGAGAAGCCTCCCTTTCCCCAAACTACTGCGCGCCCAAAATGACGTGCTTCATGGGCCCAATGTTAATTTCAAGGGTGGTCAACCCTCACGGAGAAATACATCCATCCCAAGCAGAAGTGAAATCAAGGCATTCTGGATATCACATGGGGGTTTGCGTGAAAGGGGTCTATAATTATAATCCTTAGGGTGTATGGGCTCGCCAAAGGAAGTCCTTAGCTCTTGGAAACTTCAATTAGAATCTCCTTGTCTTGACGGGGCACTGACGATTCTTCATTTCTAAGAACAAAACCAGAGAACGTGAAGCAGGCAGTTCTCAACAGCGCATGTTCGCATACGACCCCAAGCATGCCGGCACCCATGTCTCCCAGAAGCACAAGTTTATTTCAAACGCCCTAAACCCTAAACCCTAAACCGCGCCGAACCCTGACCTGAAAAGCATCCAGCTTCAAATCTCCGAGCCATTAACCCAAGGACGTGCTCTTGGTTGGCCTTGTTAGCTGCCAGATCCTCCGTGTCGCCCACGTTGAGATGCCTTAGCTACCATTCTATTGGGGATATATTGGGATAATGGAAAAGAAAATGGAAACTAGGGATTATATAGGGTATATACCTTATTGGGGATATAT